ATATATATATATATATATATATATATATATATATATATATATATATATATATATATATATATATATATATATATATATATATATCATAGCCGTCGACGTTCCCTGATTCGATGGACGTATGCAATGGAAATTGGACGAGATCTGACTGTTGTATTTATTTCTTTATTTAATCTGGTGAAAAAATGGCTAAACATGCAAAGGCGGCGGACGGATCGTTGACACGTGTACCTATAACTAGTTATGATACGCCGACATAACTACCATGAAACCGCGACTGCCTCTCTTGCGTCTCGCCACTGCGCTCCGCCGCGCCGAATCCCTTCTTTTCCCTCCAAGATTCCGCCTTTCTTGCGCTCCAGTCGACTCCCGAGCCCTTCGTCTCCTCCTGCCCTGTTGCCTCAGCGTGGCGGATGCGTCGGCGCGGTTGGAGCACAAGAGAGGCAGCGGGCCGGTGGTTCTCTTCTCCTAGAGGTACACAGTCATGTTCTTGAGATCTTTCTGTCCAAGATCCCGCCTTCCTTGTGCCCCCTGTCGCCCATGCGTGGCGTAGGCGTAGACTCGGTTGGAGAACAAGAGAGGCACCGGGCTGTGAGGGTTCTTCACACCAAAGGTTTGGATCTTTCGTGTAGAAATTGGGGGTTTCCTCCCCCTAGATGTATGCCCTCATTGAGATCTTTGTGCCCAAGATCCCGCCTTCCTTCCGCGCAAGTCGCCGTGTCCTTCGTCTCCTCTTGCCCTGTTCTATACCTGTTGGTAGAGAATCAACGTCATCAGATGGTACTTCAAAATGTTCTATACGACCAAATTAATGAGTGAAGTGGTCTTTGTATAACTACCACAAAAGCAGACATTTGTCTGTCAAATGCGCTTCATATTGCAAACTCTTTGATGGCATCACTCTGAAATTTTAGTCTAAATGAAGACTCAAAGATTGAGTCGGCAATAAAAAAAGAGATGGAATGGCTAATATGCAAAATATAATATGCATGACCTGCCTTGCAACCTGTGTATTTTTGTGAAGTTCTAGCAATCATAAATGGTTCTTTGTGAGGTAATTTTAACTGTTAAAGGTCTCCATTAGCTTGCTTAGTTATATTCGGCTATGTAAGTTACTCTTGGATGCTTAGGTTATTTTTATGTAGTAAAGACAATATAAAGAAACAAGATCTTGATCTTTCCTCGATTTTCTATAATTCAAGGTTCATGTATGTACATCTTGTTAAACAATCTGTGGACATTTTTTTTATCAGTAATCGCAAGGTGTTATTCTATGTATGGTACATGAGTTGCCACTTAGAAGTATCTGTGCTTCATAGTTGCAAACAATTATTTTCTCTTAAGCAAATAAATGGCCTTGTAGTTACTCCTGCAATGCTACAACCTCAATTTTGTTTCTTTGGTGATTGCCGAGATTGCTCTATTTTTATCATACCTTTCAACACTAGGATTTTGATGGTAATAGTTGTGGAGAGCTAAAACAAGAACTAACATGTTACATGAAATAGTACCAAAGAAAAACTCCAGTCTTATAGTTTCTCATTTTATTGGTTACTTGTATTTTCTGAGCAAGCGTCTATTATATCTGTTGATAAATATAATATCTTCTATTAAGTGAGAAGGTAAAAAGACAGTTGAAGTAGTAGCGTTTTCCCTTTTTTACATTCTGAGGTTTTGTAAAATTGTTTTTTTCCTTTTGTCTTTTTTGTCTCATTGTGATGCTCCATAACTTTTGTCATTGATGAAACTTTTTATTATATAATCAGAGCATGTCAAAGAATGTTGAAGCAACAAAATTTTTGATCTACCATATTTTGGAATTATATGATTTTTTAAAGTGAGTTCATCAGTGGAACGAATGTTCTCTATATGTTTAAGTATTATATACTTGATAAACTTTTCTGCAGGGAAAACAGGAGATAAACAAAGGTTTTCGTTCACTTGGGAATATAAAGGCTTTGCACCATTGTCTCCAAAAACTTTGGAAGCAACTATTGGATATTTAGACATTGTAAATAGTTGTGGTATTTTTCAACAGCGACAAATATTATACAAATGATATTGATGGTCAAATGGGTTCTCACCTGTTTTATTTTCTTAAATGTTCTAATGTTTATTGTTATGATTTCCTGAGATATTTTGTGTATAAGGGTGATATATGCCTGATTTTGCTGTGTCATATAGCTGATGTCAGTTACCTAAAATTGTACATCCCGTATGCACATTAACCTACTCCAACAATTAAAGTGATATGTCATGCCTAGCCTTTGTGACTTTTTCAGTTACTTGATCCATAATTTCTGAGAGGATATTGGTGTTTCACTTGCTATTGAAGTCATTTCAGTTTCCAGCTCCTGCTTTTAACAAATGCAAGTTATTTTTGGACAATTAAGCACTCGGTTGCTTGGAAATTGATCAAATATTTCTGAGAAACCAGGATGAGAAGGAACGCAGAAAAATTTAGTCAGGAGTACGATAAAGCAATCTTTTCTCCACCCAGATTTCTTCTTTTAGAAAGTTCTTTTCCTCCCAGATCTGCTTTGCAAAAAATGGTAGTTATATTGAGGCATTACTGGGTTGGGTTGACCAAGTGAGGAACAGATATGGTGAACCAACACTGTCCTGTCGTAGGAGAAGCTCAGACTACTGAACAGTATTTGAGCAAAGCCCAAGGGCTGAATTATACCTAGAGAACAGGTAGTGTGGTGCAAAAAGTCCAAAGACCCAGAGAATGGGAAGATAAGCATTTTATTTTTTACTGTAATATAATAAAGTCATTTCAGTCTTATACTCTTATTAGAGGGGGAAAAAGGAGTTATTTGAACACTTTTTATGATATAATAAATTTAGAGGTTTTATGTGTCTTTAATTTTGCTTAGCAGCTGTTGATAACAGGAATTGGATACTGTTGGAAAGCAAAAGAACAAAGGTATTACAGATTCAAACAGGGGTTTGGAACTTGAATGTTGTGCAAACTGATGCTTCACAAACACACAGCTACTGCACAACAAACGTGGTAACCCCTGGTGGATGAGGTCAGACATTGTAAATTTCAAGGAGAATTTGAGTACATTTTCAACACAAGATGACCAGTGGTAGGGCACTCTGAACCTCGTTACTATTCCTCCTCTTGGGCCCTCTATTTAATATCGCCAGACTCTTCTGCTTTCGGTCAAAAGACAACTCAGTGGAGATCAGCTTTTGTTGAGAAGATAGGTGATCAGAAAAATAATGGCTTAATTCTGACAGCTGGTGATCGATCATGTATTGTCTAATTATAAAGCTTCTGGATCTGCCTACACTGTAGAAGATGATGGTAACTGAAAACTATGATCAGAACTGGATTCATCATTTTATTGTTTGAGAATGCTAGATTCATCATTTATTTCCAGATTCTCTTTCTGAGTGACAGTTATAAAACTAGTCTGCCTAAACTTGCAGGATCTCAGGACATCTCAGTAGAGTTATTTGATTCTTGGATCTATGATGCTGCTATATGACAGTCTTTCACTTCATCACCGAGACAGCAGAGAAGTCAGACCCAGGCAAGCCTATATACACATGTTGACTTCCTCCAGAGGCAGCATTTCTACATGTAATCCAGTATTCAGGTCAGGAGGTGCATGCACTGTTTCTTTCAAGTATTTTTCTGCTCCCTGATTAAAACATCACGACTTGAATGTATGCGGCAGTGCCCTTCAGAATCTGGAGCCTTATCATGGTGGATGATGGAGCCTGAAGCCACAGCTTTTACCATCATGGATGATGGAGCACCGAGGCATAGGATTCCAGTTCCCTTTCTCTTTTCCAACAGAGATCGACCGTGGACAGGAAGGTGGGAGGGCGAGAACTGCACCTGGGAAAGTGGCGCGGACATCAAAGCAAGGTACCATTCAAAATGTAGGAATCCCAAGCATCACAATCTAACTTATGATATAGGACATGATAACTCCTTCCTTTCTTCCTGTGTGGGACCTGTCTATTTACTCCTTTTGGATCCATTCATTGTGTTATTTTCCTCTATGAATAACCCACAAAAGAAGAGAAAAGCAAACTTTGGCAATCTAAAAGGATAAAAGGAAGAAATAAAAAGTAAAAGCTGCTAATATCACATGATGTGGATTGCACTGAGTGAGCCTTTAACTTGGGAATATTGTGCACACCCTTTTAAAGTACCTTTGTGTGTAACATTTCTCTTTATTCCCATAGTACAAAAGCAAACTCTTATTGAGACTTATATGTTCAATAAAATTAATTGACTGCTAATTACATAGTCTAACTTGCTGATTGCATTAACCTCGGAGATGAGCTGACCATTTCATCCTCGGGTCGACTTTATTAAGGTTAGTGAAATTCCTATTGAAGGTAATTTCTCTTCTTTTTCCTTGATCCTTTCTTCATCTCCTCCTGTTAGCTACTCACCTAACTCTTTTATCTCCTGTGATGTCAACACTCTCTTTTGACTGATCCATCTTCTTCTTTCCTATTGTCCTAATCCTCTTGATATATGTATGGATACACATATACATGCATTGTATTTTCCTGTGTGCCTTGAATTTTCTTCTCATGTTTGACTGTGTTCTTTCACTCACTTCAGTGGCAAGAAAAAATTGTCTTTTTGATAAATAGATAATAGGTGGAATCAATCTTATCCAACCCAAACTGGTGCACAATGTCATCAGGCATGATATATTTTTTCAGTTGTTTTTCCTATCATGGTTGGATCAAAGTCAAAGTTGAGGATGAACTGCTACAAAGTCTTTCTTTTTTCTTTTTTTTTGGGTTTCAAACAGCTGTGACTTCATCACGTAACATTTAAATTTTGAAATATAAATAATTGTCTCCTTTCTATTGACTGATTCAGAAGGAGGTGTTGCTTTCATGCAGACAAAGCAGTCTGGAACAATCAACACAACACATGCATGATGAACAAGCCACAGTGAGATGACGGCATCCGAAGGTGGATGATGGCAACCGGCAAGGAATTTTCCCACACAACCTTCTCTTACAGGTCCTCATGGAGATGGATTCCTAGTGGTGTTTCAGAGCTCAATCTATATGGTGAAACTTTTCCCTCTCAATTCCTCCTTTTCAAAATTGCAGGTCTACCTAACAACTGACCTTCCTCATGGGGCTGTCTCAATCCCATGCCCCACTTGATTCAAGTGTGACTCACACAGGTATCTATCAAAAGATCTATCCCTCTAGTTTCATATCTAATGTGTTCTAATTTGACCGCTGTCACCGGGTAACTTCGCCTTTGATCCGCCTTCATGTGAGGGAGTCATCGCACCGCCCTGTGGAGCGGATAACAGTAACTCCACTTCACGTTACTGAGATGAGCGATCGCTTCACGACTTCAATATTTCTACTTTTAAATTTGTTTGGTTTTTTTTTCTCAGAAAACTGTTTTCTTTGAATAATAATATAATAATATATTTTAACAAAAATTGATATGTTTTTCTTAATATTTATTTAATGAGGTAACAGTTTTCCTCAATAATATATTTTAAGAAAATTTGGCTTTTTTGGGCTTTCAATATTTCTTTTATAAAGGATGAAACAGGAGGACCATTTGGATCATTCTTTATGAGGCATTTTGAATACTTAAAATATGTTTTAGTCGATTTTTGCTGATGATTTGACCTTATTTATTTATTTATTTATTTTTCTAAATTGAATTTAATAATTACGAAAATATATTATCTGACCGTCACGGAGGACGTGACGTGTCCTTAAACGCACCGGTGGGTGAACGCCATCTCACCCTTCCCCCCCTCGTCTTCTTCTTCTTCTCCCATCTCTTTACCATCAACCTTTCCAACTCCCATCTCCTCTCCTCCCCTCCCTCTTAATACTTTCACGTTTCTTACCCTTCCCTATTTCATTTTTTTTTCAAACATTCCCGAACTCGCGCGCTTCCAAACCCTAATCAATCCCCTCGCAAACCCATTCCTCCCTTCAAAACCCTCGGCCGCTTCTTATGGATCGCTAGATCCGCCCTCCGTCGAGGTCTTTTCCGATCCGGTACGAGCTCTTCGGCTGGAATACTTTTGATCATGCAGGGATTGGAGAAGGAGAACAACCCCATCTCAGTCGCTCCTTCGGCGAAGCCGCCTGCGAAGAAGGATCGGCATATCGTTACCTGGACGTCTCAGGTCTCAATTCTCTGTCTTTTCTTTTTTTTTTGGTCACTCAAAGGTCGAGTTTTTGACGGTCTGGAATCTGGATTTCTTGCAGGAGGATGATTTGCTCCGGGAACACATTGCTCTTCACGGAACCGACAAGTCAGTCTGCAATTCTTTGAATTTTCGTTCTCTCTGACCTTGTTCTAATTTAATAGTGCAGTCCTTGCACTTCATCTGGAAGTTCTGTTATGGACTCTGGTTGGTTTTGTGGGCAGTTGGACAAGTATCGCAGCTTTATTCAAGGATAAGACCAGCAGACAGTGCCGGAGAAGGTGAGCGACATCGGATAATTTCAAAAGGAAAAATCTTTTTGCTAAATTTGTGGATGGATTTGTGTTGGAATCTTTAGCGGAAGTGACACAAGTCTGTTGTCAAAATTGCAGATGGTACACCTACTTGAATTCAGAGTGTAAGAAAGGTGGGTGGTCAGCGGAGGAGGATATGCTCTTATGTGAGGTAAGGAATTCGATAACCAGTCCGTGGATTTTAACTATCTTGTTGGCACCTGTATCGAGTCAAAGAAGTAGCCTTTTGCTATCGTGGTTTTATTACGATGGGAACATTATTGCTCATCTTCCTGTTCTATTCCTGTTTTCTGATGTGTGGTCGTTGTTTCTGGTATGTGTTTGGTTTCCTTATATGGGCAACAATATTCATACAGTTTAGATGCATCAGGAGGAACAGTGTCCTTTACAGCTGAAGATCCGTTTTCTTCTGTTCTATTAATGCAATTTGATTGCTAGTGAGCTGCGATTTGCTTTGAATTTTCTGTATGCCCTTGACCCTCCAAGTAAAGCTAATGTGCAGGCGCAGAAGATTTTCGGGAATAGATGGACAGAGATTGCAAAGGTGGTATCAGGAAGGTATGTCACTCCCACTTCTACCTTTAATGACGACGCATCCAGTGTTATGGAAGAACAAATTATAGAAATCTGATGTCTATTGCTATACCCAATGACAGAACTGATAATGCCGTAAAGAACCGGTTCTCCACCCTCTGCAAGAAAAGGGTAAAGCTTGAGGCTTCTTCCAAGGAGAATAAGGGTTCATCGTTTGATCAAAGTAATAAGAGGGTTATAGTTCAAGATGGCTATGCTGCAGCAGTGGCGAGGGAGTCATCAACATCCAATAAGCAGATCAGGTAAAAAGATTTTCTGTAATTTGAACCACCAAGTAATGGTACAAATAATTAAGATTCTCACACTCCTTTCACTTGCAAGATAGATACCATGTGCTTCATCCCAAGGAGATTAATGAAGGGCATAAGAGATTTCTTGGGGAACATGGACCGGAACAAAATCAACTAAGACCACCTCTAGCAGTGCTTGTTCAGAACTCTGATACTTCAAATGGTTTGACAGAAAACCTGAGAGGACCTCTATATGATGGTAAACAATGTTTCTATCCATTTCAGTGAAAGTGGTTAGTATTGTCATAAAGCACTTCTTCTGGTCTTATAAACACTAACTTTTACTGATGTCTAATCAGTTTCCAACAAAGATAATCAAGGAACCTTTATCAGGAGAGATGATCCAAAACTAACAGCCTTGTTGCAACAAGCTGAATTGCTTACATCCCTTTCCAAGAAAGTCAATGCTGAAAATACCAACCAGAGTTTCGACGAGGCATGGAAGGTGCTAGTTGCAAAATTAGAAATACATGGATTCACGTTCAGCGCTAAAATAGCTTATCCCTGCTTTGGTTTTGTGAATATTTGGACTTCATCAGGAACTTCAAGATTACTTGATCCAAACTGAAGACAGTGGGTCACTGAGAAGAAAATTATCTGGAATGGGTTGTATGCTAGATGAGCTCAGAGACTTGATAGAGGATTTGAATAGCAACAAAGAAGAGGAGCAACAACCATTGAGGTAAACAGAGAGTGGAAAACACGTTTGTGTAGACTAATAGATTCACTTTTAGTTCTATCAGTTGATGTACGAGTAAAACGTAATGGCTAGTCAATTTATCAGGCAACTTGATTCTCATGAGGATTCTCAAGGGAGTTCTGGGTGCAGCACAGGCTCAACCCATGACTTGAATTCTGCACAAGGTAAAAGCAATCCTCAGTATGAGGATTGTTCACTGCAGACGGATAATGAGGTCAGTTATCTTAATGATGACGCCGCATGTTCCAGCATGACTGCTTCTCCAGGTATGGGACAAATCTATGTAGTACTGACTGTGAATACTGGAACAGATGAAAATGTTCTCACTGAATTATTTGTCCTGCTTTCAGAGGCAATCTTATCGGTGTCTGAAATGCCAAAGGATGAAGTTGTGAGTGGTTGTGCACTCTCAGAATTTGCATCTCCCCTCCAGACAATACCACCTTTCCAGTCGTTTACAGATGGAATTCCAAGCCCAGTTTTTACTTCAAGTGTGAGTTATGATTTTTTATATCTTACTGAGCTAAGCAATCTAATATCTCCCACTTGGATCTGGAACCAACCTACATGCTGATGCTCACGATTGCGATAGTCGTACAGTCCTTGTCCTGCATCACATAATAGGAAAACAAAAGTGCATGAACTTGCAGAAATAGATTTTGACTTTTTTCTTTAACTTCCATTTGTTAAAGAATTATCCCTTTTAACTTGTTTGCACATATTAATTATGGAATCTATAATGTTCTTGATGAGTTGTTGGATCAAACATGTCAAAAGCACCTGATCCTCTGCATGTAGATGTTTTTGCTAACTACATAACAAGTTGTTATTAAAATTTCTGCACTACTACTGGTACTTCTGTGACATAAATCAGCATGTTGGTTTCCTCTTGAGAAATACAAAGAGATGATTGACTTGTCTCCAACAGCTGGAAGAAGCTTGTTGTTCCTTGAACATTTAATTTACATTTTCATTATTAATAATTCAATTTCTTGTATTATCCAGGAGCGACATTTCCTACTTAACGTGCTTGATTTGTCATCTCCGGCCACCAACACAAACTCCAGTAAGCAGCCATCCTGCAAAAGGGCTCTTCTTGATACCTTCAAGCCATCCTAGTATGTGATATAGAAAGTTCTACTCTATTCTTTTAAGGATTTCGTCAGTCCAGAAGTTAGGCGTTGTGTGTCTTTGAAAATATATAGATTCCCGTTTATGGTTCCTGCTTTCTTTCCTTGGCTTGAATTGCAGACATGTCCTGTTTTTATCAGAGGCAATTTTAAGTCTGCAAATAATAGGTGTGTCCTTACCAGTGCATTTGCAACATCACTAGCTTTCCCACGTCCAAGCTGCCATACTCCTGCTTGTTTGCATACACGTACTTGCATCAACTTTGGGGTGCTCATTTGCCTTTTTCTTCCATGATAGGATATTGGTTTTAGTCCTCAGATGTTTGGTTTGTCATTCATGTATATAAAGTTCATCATAAGGTCATCATTGTGTAATGTACATGCCATATCTACCATGAAGCATAAGGTCATGTAGAATTTTTCTTTGTTCTGGTTTGGTGTGCAAGATATAAAATAAGAACCATCTCCTGGTTTTATGAGTCCCTGTTGTTTTTTTTTTTTTTTTTGTGTGTATCTGCTCGATTGATTGGGTGGATGAACCCTAGATTCGATCCTGTGGAGTTTATTCTTCTTCCCTTCTTTCTCATATGTGTATTTGTCAGACGGATGTAATATTACTATGGCAATGAAAATTTTGAGTATTTATTTTGGTGTTGTGTGGATTCTATCAACATTAACTAGTATCACAATGTATCACTTACCAAATTACAGATAGCATTGTTTTTCTTTTACATGGTTACAGCCTCTCGACCTTAATATGTTGCATGGATATTGAAGTGGACGAGGTTATAACATCCCACCCTCATAATGGACTTTTGCAAGAGCAGACAAATAAAAATAAAAGGTCTGGCACTTGTGCAAATATGAGGACAGTTGATTTTGCCTCCATCCTTCATTCGGATACATGTGCAACATGTATTTATCCTTCTCGCGGCTTGCACATGAGGGGGTGGAAGGGTTCCTATATATGTTGGCCCTTTTTCTAGTGGTCTAAGCTTTTCCTACAAGTGGTCATCCGCATATATTGCAGGCAACCAAATGCTGCATTGTTAAAGAGAATCAGTAAGACCATTATTTTAGAATCACATGAAAGAAAGACATGTTGGTGCTGATTTCTTAGAGCAAGTGCTTCCTTTTCGCTATATTTTAACTAGAGTGCCAGAAATAAGAAGACTGTCAGGGTGTGATGTGAAAGCTAATTGGTGCATCACATGATTCAACTGGGTCATGCTCTTTCAGGTTATTTTTTCACTTTTAAGGATAATGGTGCACATTTTTATTGGTAAGCCCACTACTAAATTAGCAAAAGAACAGAATGAGTAACTAATTTTGATTTCCCATTGCTTTTTCACTAGATTTTAACTTGGGTTACCTGAAACAAGTGGATCATTATGTTGGAACATGATAGTGGATGCCTTTTCTTTTGTATGGATTAATACATAGTAAATGCATCATGTATTGATGTTGTTTATATGTTCAATTTGGTCGAACCTGACACCTAACATCTGCTGCTAAATTGACAGTTACTGTTTGAGCGCATGCCTTGTCATACTCTCGCAATCAAGGGTGTTTTGATTTTTATGTCTAATGTGGTTACTGACTGGTCAAAGCTCATAATGCCTGTTGGTTGGTAATTTAATATAATTGGAGCTGATATGCTTTGACTGTTGCTTTGGGTTCCTTTTGATCTTGAATAACTTAATCCTTGCAGCATGGTCTCTGTCTGATGTGAACATAGAAGTCATCCTTAACTGACTTGTAGGAATTTAACTGTCTTGACATTGTTGCTTATTGCTCGTACTCCTTTTTGTTTGCTATCTTGTCTCGATATGATTAGTGACTGATATAACTTGTTTCTGATGCAAGTCTTCTATTCAATTTAACTTCTCCGGTTTGTCGAGTGATCACTAATTGTGAGGATAATAGAAGGCCATAGTAGATGCCATCAGCTTGTATCATCTGGTGAGTAAAGCAGTGTTCTGAAGGGCTTGGTTGTTATCATCTTTTTTGGGACACCATTACTGGCTTGGTATTATATTGTCTAGGAAACTTATAGCTTAAACTACCTTGAGTAGGTCCTGGCCAAAATTTCTGTAGATGTGTTCTACCTCATAGTCTGAAGCAAATAGACCCTGACAACCATAAATATTATTCATCGGATGCTTTCTTTAGTGCATAATCCAGCAATAAATCTTCCACTTTATTTGTCAAATTGAGAAGGTATGAATTTTTTAAGGAAAACTAATCTGAAGCCTCACTACATTTTGAAAGAAAGAGAGCTGCCATTCCACCACACACATGACCTCAGATGGTATCTTATTAATCTAAGCAAGAAGAGGTGACCCTCACCAGTCAGCAATTGAAAGTGAAGCCTTTTGTTCTTTGTCCTTTCTTCTCTCACTTTCATTCCAACATTATTATTTATTCCTCTTGTAATATTTTTTCTTGGTTGTTGTTGATTATTCTAATGAGTCTGATAGGTTCATCAAACCACATCACTTGAACCATTTGATGTGGTGATGTGTCAGGCCAAACTCTTTTAACACTTATCCATATTAAATAATCCTTCTCTGTGCTAGCTAGCAGTATAAAGTGTTGCTAACCTGCTTAGATTAACATGGACATCTAAAGGATCAGCGATGAGATTTGACCAGGTCAAAAAGCACCTTTAGACCAGCTCAGAATCTTGCATGTTCACCAGGCTTAGTGATGATCACCTAACTCATCTTATTGCAGGAACATTGTAGTATCAGCATTAAAATATTGGCAGCAACTGATCAGCTCAATGGTGCATCAGAGCTTTCGGTGGTTTGGTCGGAGACAGTGGTGCATTGTCATTGCTTACAATCCTCTAAAAGCATGAAGAGGTGGATACTAAAACTATAGATGCATCTCTTTTCCTGTCTCCATTTCGTGGTCAATAGGGAACAATGGAGTCTTTTGTGTTTTGCCTTTTCCTTTTAACTTACACCTCTGAAGAATCTTAGATTTTTTCAAGATGTATAGATGGGAATGTGAATCAACATTTCTCAAAGATGGATTTGATTCTTTTGGTTGAGTAAGACAAATGCTGCAACTTTGTAAACTTTTAGGCCTCATGAATGCATGTCACCTTGACTATCTGGTAAACTGTCACATCTGGAATCAAAACCAAGTTCTAGATATAGTCTTTCATTTACTAGAGTTAAAGACTGCCTTGATTCTTCTCAGGTTCTGCATTGACTCTTGTGCATTGGATTATTGTTGTTCATGAAGTTTTGACGTGTGTTGGAGATGCCTCGTGCTTGGCATTTGCCCTGTCTAAGCTGGCAACCAAACAATATATGCAAGCCAATAAAACCTGCTGTTTTCTTCAGAGGCCTATGAGACACAGGATTGATAGGGGAGATTGAGAAGAGTCAACATGTCCAATTAAGCTGATGGCTACTTCAACCTCGTGATGGAGGGCAACCCTACCCTGAATCATGCTGTCCTATCAAGTGAGCAACCTTCTTCAGCAAGCAAATGGGTTGAGGTTGACATGCTTGTTGTCTCCCCTCGACCACAAACTCGGTTGGTTTCCTGGCATCTAACAGAAGACGACCTGCAAAGACTGACTTGGTGATGCCATATTTCTAGCGACGCAGGCATAACTGTGTCTAAAGAAAATAAATTACCTGTTGTCATAATATTCCCAAAATTTGATTTATCTTCGATCGAAATACTCCAAAATTTGATTCAAAGAATTTTGTCTCTATCTTATAACACAAAAAGAAGTTTGGAGCATTCTTTTTTATTTTCAGATAATTAACATAATACTTTTATCTTATAACACTAAAGAAGTTGGAGTATTTTTTTTAAAAAAAATATTTTATTTTAATATATTTCTTATCACCATCACCATCGTCTTGATTTCCTCGTCATGGTGTCAATCCATGAGTATATTACTTTTCTTTTCTTTTTTCTTTTTCTTTCTCTTTGTCATAGATTATGTCATGATCTCGTCATGCCGTGATCTTCTAAGTTTTTTTTTTTCTATATGTATATATATAAATAATAAATGATAGAGAAAGCATGACAAGTGTTGGAATCGCAAAATATGCAAATAGCAATGTCGACGACGCGAGTCGGCTCGAGTCGATAGATCCGATCCAACCGTGGGATGCAACGTGTTTCACCACATCACCCTAAGTGGAAGTCTCTTTGTTATCTGTCACCTATAGTGCTTCATCAAACCATCGCCTTCGAAATGTCCTCCTCCCCTTTACTACACCACACCACATGTTTTGGAGTTGGAATCTCACCGTATAGATGGGGCTTTCCCACTCCCGTCATCCCAACTCCCGACTCGAATCCTCACTGTTCTGTCCGAACTCAACATTGAATTAAAACACAGTCGAATCTAATCTAGACGACGGATCAGAAAGATGTGTAAATATCCCTGTCTCGATACAAGGGTAAAACTCACCCTGATTCCTTCCTTGCGTGCAAGTAACCATATCAAGCCATCGATTGGAGATGTCTTGTCCTTTTGCAGGACAGGTCCAGTGCTGGTGGGACAATAGATGAACCGATCTGAAAACAATCTATCATGAAATAGGAGGGGATAACAAAAAATGAAAACCAACAAGGACTTGCAAGTTGTGCATCTATGTCTTCATCCCTTGAACAAAATTCAACTTGGTATTCCATAGGTTGATGAAGAGAGAAAGAGAGAAGTCAGCTGATTGACAATGAAGCTACCACCGACCCTATATGGGAATAGATTCCTGTCACCACTTCGATAAAAGCCTTTGGAAAACAATTTTGATCGTTTATTTTTCTTAATCGAATGTTTTTTTTCCTGTTGTTCCTCGGTGATCATATGGAAGATACGGTAAAAGAGTGGGGGACATGAACTTGGAATCGGGTGTGTTGCCCGTTGAGTAGGCCTGAGAAGTAGAGATGGAAAGGAGGGCAGACGGGACAGAGCAAAGCTGGAGGAATTGCATGGCGGAAAGCGACGTGGAATCCATCTCGGGATAACGGCGCCGTCCAAATCCGTAACGGAGACGTCGTCTTCCGACACCGTACGGTTGCCACCAATCCAACGTCAGTCGGCCCCTCCTCCTCTGTCGTGATAATAGTAGTAGTATACTGACATGTCTCGCTGTGGAAACGCACACCCCACGCGGTCCTCCACTCGGGCTCTGTCTCTCTCTCCGTCTCTCTCCGTCTTCTTCTTCTCGCTCCTCTTGCCTCTGTTTCCCCCGCGGACCGCCGCAGAGAAACGACTGGGAGAGGAAAGGAACGAGCTTTCGGTCGAGCGGAAAGGTTTCTTTCTGCTGCTTTCTGGCGGGGAAAAGGGAATCGATGGGGAACTGCGTGATCTCTTCGTCGCGGGTCGAGAACGCCCACACCCCGCGGAATGCCTCATGTGCGTGCTCTCTTTCTTGGGTTTGATGCTTAAAGCCGGGATCTTTTTTATGCCTCCGTATGGTGTTTTCGACTTGGTTGCAGAGAAATCTTTAAAGCTTCTTCTTTCGTGCTCACTTAATTTGTTGGATTTCTGGATTTTGACTGTATTATATTCTTTGTGTAGCGTAGATGTTCTTTGCTACCGAGTATGAAGCTGGGAATTTGGTCGAACTCTCTGCCTAATTTGTTGGATTAATGCTATGTATGCTGGGCCAAGTGACGATGAGTTCATTTGTGGTGGAAATTAGATTTAGAGGCCATACTTGATTCCCAAAATTTCCTTTTTAATCTCACATTATCTAGTCTTGTCTCGAACTTTTGGTGATCATGTTGTGATTACTTCTTTCCTTTCTAGTGGATTCCCTGCTTAACTGTTGATGCTGATATCAGTTTTTGTTTTCCCTTTCTGGGAGGAAAACCTTGAAACTAGCTAGATATAGCAAAATACTATGGTACTTGCCAGGATTACTACTCATTACTGGATAGAGTTTGGTGGGTAGTCAATGTTTTTGTCATAAGTGTGTTTTACTTGCTATGGCAACTCCATATGGATGCATTTGCAGCTTTGCATGGGCGCAGATGTTAGAATCTGATGCAAACCCATACCCAAGTGGCCTATTTGGCAAGGAGACAACATGGAGATACAACAACATGTGGAAGAAGAATGATCTGAAGAACAAAGTGACGCATGTTCATAAGAATCGACTTGCTATTGTTCCTTTTTTTGGCATCGAATAGTTGACTAAGGAAAGCCGGGTAAGAGTAATACTGCCAGGAGAACATAATTTATGATCAAAGGGAATCAAAGTAGTTAGTTGTGCGTTCCCGTGAACGAGGTTTAAGATCATCTGTTGCGATAGCTACACATCTCGTGCAGGAAGAAGAGAGGGTCAGTTATATCGCAGATTGTTTTTTCCAATTAATGGCTGATGCTCCGATCGATAAAGCAGGTGTTGTGGTATTTTGACTTTAAGCAATTTTGTCACAATTTCTTGTTTCTTCCTTTTGACAGATCCTCCAAAGGTCGTCGCCAGTAAAAGAAGTTTATTTTCAGTTTCTTCGTCTCGGGCAACATTCTCGTCCCCTTCAACTCTGTCTGTGCCTTCTTTTAGCGATAAGACGAGCAACGGGAATCTTTCTACACCAAGAACTGAAGGCGAAATATTATCCTCCTCACAGTTGAAGGCTTTCACGGTCAATGAGTTGAGAAATGCCACGAGGAACTTCCGCCCTGACAGCCTTCTAGGGGAAGGAGGATTCGGTTATGTCTACAAAGGTTGGATCGATGAACAAAGTTTTTCTGCTACGAAGCCTGGATGCGGAATGGTTGTTGCTGTCAAGAAGCTTAAGCCTGAAAGTTTCCAAGGGCACAAGGAATGGCTGGTTTGTTTCCTACACCATCTGCTCCCTCTGTTAAATTCTATGTTAATACTTCTGTATTCTGACTACAGTTGCTGAATGATTGCAGACAGAGGTTGATTATCTAGGTCAGCTTCACCATCCAAATTTGGTTAAGCTCATCGGGTACTGTTCAGAGGGTGACAGTAAACTTCTGGTCTATGAATTCATGCCAAAAGGCAGCTTGGAAAATCATCTGTTCAGAAGTACGTAACAAAAAGAAATATATACTTCATGACATAACATCTCATAAAACATTGGCTTCATGGTTAGAAGCAGCAAGGCACCACCATCGTCTAGGTAGAAAAGAAGGAACCTAAAAATAGCGCTTATCGTAGAGGGTAGAACACATTGTTTATCTGAAACTACTGCTTCACAGTAACCCTATAGGCAGAATGTCGACCTTTTGTCCAGTCCTTTTGTATCGTTCTAATATATTATTCAGTGATCAGGCACTGTGCCTATCGTGTCTTGGTTATATGTTAGCTTAGCAATCACGATAGTTTCTCTAGAATTTCTTGGTTATTTATTGACAATCCATCTGACATTGCTTTTCATGGATGCTTCTTCCAGGAAGTGCTCAACCACTATCATGGACGACAAGGATCAAGGTTGCAATTGGAGCTGCTAGAGGGCTCACGTTTTTGCATGACGCTGAATCTCAAGTTATATATCGAGATTTTAAGGCCTCCAACATTCTGCTTGACTCGGTATGTTATTGATGTGGAGAGCGAGAGAGTGTGATTAGGTTGCTAATAAAAGAGGGTGGCTGAAAACATATAAGCTAGAAAAAAATGTTTCTCAAGACTTTTCTTGTTACGCAGGAGTTTAACGCCAAGCTTTCAGACTTTGGCTTGGCAAAAGCTGGACCAACCGGAGATAGAACTCATGTGTCGACCCAAGTCATAGGCACTCATGGATATGCAGCTCCTGAATATATCGCAACAGGTTTTGTCTTCTAGCTATTAAACCTTGTTCACTCCTCATTTTTTCAGCGTATCTGAGATTAGATTGTGATATAGTATCGGTATTAAGACACCTACATGATCATTCGGTTAGAATACTTCTTGAACGATTAAAGAAATTCTCTGGAATTCAGTAAAATTCATTTTGCTAATTCAGTCGCCCATAATTATCATCGAAAAACACAAAGTAAAAGGAAATTCTTAGAATTTGAAGCCAACAGATACCAAAATTTCAGAGATGGCCTGATGTAACTTAACTCTTAAGAAGGCCAAAATTTCTCGGAGCAGCTCCTGGGAGGTAAAAATGGCAAGCTTGTAGACGGCATTGTTCATCTCTACACGTCGACGAGCCAACTAATTAAAACTCAAAATTCATTAATATGTTATTGACCCTTCTTTCTTTCCTTCCTTTCGGATAGCTTTGTTGTTTATGAAGTTTGACTTTAGAAGCATCCAATATTTTACAGGTAGACTTTCGGTGAAAGCTGACGTCTACAGTTTCGGGGTTGTACTATTGGAGCTCTTGTCTGGGCGTCGAGCCGTCGACAAATCAAAGCTGGGCATAGAGCAGAACCTGGTGGAATGGGCGAAACCCTGTTTGGGTGACAAGCGGAAAGTATTCCGGATCATGGACACAAGGCTGGAAGGGCAGTATCCAAAGAAAGGAGCTCTTGTTGTTTCCATGCTTGCTTTGCAATGTATCGACCATGAGGCCAAACTCCGGCCTCGTATGTCTCATGTCTTGGCCTCACTGGAGCAATTGCAAGATCCCAAATCTGCAGCGTTTCCTCCGCAAGCTGATCGACACAAGACCTCCTGTGCCATCTCCAAGTCACCAACGACGCATCGTCATTCGTCGCTACACCCAGCGGCGGCCGTAAGGTCTCCATTGCCGCCGATAGCGATCACCACTGGAACACTAAGCTAGAGACTTCACTGGAACTAGTATTGTCAGGTCCAATTTCGGTCAGGATGAGTCGCTAATCTGTTTTGTGCTTCTCTTAAGTTAGTTTATAGATTGATGTTTGTACTTCACATCATCTGTTGTAGGCACTTGTCCTTAAAAAATTCACCTGAAAGTCCATTGACAATTGCTTTCAGGTGCATGTTTCATGGTTCTTCTTGTGATCATAGGAATGCATTAGTGTGGCTTCTTATGCCATGATCTTGGTTTTGTTCTGTTTCTGCTGTAGCAAATGTCATAGATTGGCAAGCCTATTACTGATTGTGTCTTAGTTTCATGTGCGAGAACTTAAATGTGAGGTAAACTCTCGTCAACCTTCTTATACTCATCAAATGTGTTACAAACAATAATGAATAGATAGAAGATTTGAGACGAAGGATCACATAAAGACGCATAGGTAATTCACTGCCAGCAGAGAAGTGCAAAAAAGGAAAAGAAGACTATCGAAACCATTCTTTCCGCACGTACACACAGTGGGAGAAGATGAGCTATGGAGACCACCACCTGAAAGCTAGTGAAGAAGGAAGAATCCGCGACACAAGTAGACGGCTGTAAGCATCGATCTAAAGCTCTGCATCAGGTTTCCCACTAGGCTTCGACACAGTCCTCTTCGCCTTCTCCTTGGTCTTGTGAGCCGCCTTCTCTGCGACCTTCGCCGCCGACTCCGCCGCGTGCTCCACTGCCCCTTTGCTCGTCTCGAAGCTCCTCGACGCTGCTTCTTTCACCACTTCCCATGCACTCGACTCACCCCTTCCATATCTTTCCCTACATGACGTCATCAATACACAAATCATCATCATCAAAGATACAACATAAAGCTTGGATTCTCTGAAACCCCGGCCTCTGATCACAGAGAGCCTGAAATAACATAGACGAGTAACTATGAACAGGATGCGACGTGAGAGAGAGAGAGAGCTCGACGTTGAATCAGGTGGCCGAAGATTCATGCAGGCAAGCTTGGCCCATGTCCTGATGGTATCCCACCGGCTTGCAGATCTAGTGAGGCCGATGGCCCTCTCCACCGGCTGCGGCCCCTGCTGCTGCTGTTGCTGCTGCTCTGCTCTCTCGTACCGCATCTCATTCCCCTTGGCCTCCTCTCCACCGTCATGGGCACCTTGGACTGATGATGGAGATGTTAGCGAAGAGAGCAGGAGGAGGAGGAGGAAGAGGAGGGAGGAGGAGCGTGTCGGCGACGTGGAGGTTCCCCCGCCGGCTGCCATGGAGAGCCGTGTTTGGAGGCGGTACAGCGAACGGGTGTTGTGACCGCTTCCTGTTCGACGTGCTTTACGTGGAGCCCTGTTCGGTCGTTGCATGGGAAACGTGGCACGTGTAGGTCATAAATCTCGATCGAATCCGTCGCTTCCACTGCTGCGTGTCAACATGTAAACCCAAACTCTGTACACCAACAAATACGCTCATCGAACCATATACGTATATATAAACACGGAAAACCAACAACAAATAGCATCCTCAATCTTGATAGGACCTAATAACTGACACAGTGATCATCTTCTTCTTGACACTAACACAACTCCCAGCCCAAGCGGCAGAGCAAGAACAGAAAACAAGAAGCTACTCCTTCATGCAATGCATCACACGCTGTACGTATCGAACACCAGTATTTATTATGCAGCGGGGGAAACTACCAGCGATGACATCAAACCAGCCCGGCATCCAAAGCATTCTTGAAGCTCCCACCAAGAAGAGACAGCAAGCTCCCACCGTGCACCCTCCCTTCCGGCACCACAAATCCGCAGCTCTTCTTCTCCTGGATGTCACCGCCACCGCCATCGCCACCGCCACCTCCACCGAAACCAATTGATACTGAGGACGACGCCGGAGACTTCATTGACAAGGGAACCAGAACCTGCGGCGGAATGTGAAGCTGCTGCTGTCCTCCAGAGTTTGCATGCGACTCAACGCTCTCCGAAACAGAGCTACTTCTGACTGTGACGTATGAGGAAACAAGCCCTTGGAAGAGGCCCGCACCGATCAATCCCCCGGTCTCCCCAGCCTGGCGCTCCTGCTGAGCGGCCATCATAGTACCATGAGCTGCACAGAGTCCACTCCTCCCCCTTGCAAACTTGTCGCACCCTGAGGCCCACGCACACCGTTTCCCGCCACCGTGCGCTTTGCAGAAATTGGTCCTCCCCTGCGCACTCTTGTTGCATCCCTGGAAGTGGCATCGCTTCCCTCCACCGTGCAGCACACAGCAATCGGTGCGGCCACGGGCGCTCTTTGTACATCCGGCGAAAGAACACCTCTTACCACCTCCATGAGCCACGCAGAATCGTGTGCCACCATGGACACTCTTTGGGCAAACACCACCACCTTTGAAATGGCATCGCTTACCACCACCATGCCCCTTGCACAGGGGTGTGCTTCCCTCGGCTCCTTTAGTACAACCCTGAAACATGCATCGTCGCCCACCACCGTGAGCTTTGCAGTACTTGGTACTCCCCTGTGCACCTTTCCGGCAATCAGGATACTGACACCTACGCCCTCCACCGTGGGAGATGCATAGCCCTGGCTGGCCCTCGGCGTTTCGGATGCAACCCTCTACGGTGCACCTTTTCCCCCCTCCATGGCCGATGCACAAATTGGACTTCCCTCGTGCGGCTTTCGTGCATCCTGGATGAGTGCACCGGCACCCACCTCCATGAGCAATACAGAAATCTGTCTTACCCTCTACACTCTTGGTGCATCCAAGCATTTGGCATCTCCTGCCTCCTCCATGAGCTTTGCAGAAAGCTGTCCTGCTCTCGGCACTCTTGTTGCACCCAGGTCTCTGGCACCGTTGCCCACCTCCATGGCCAATGCAGAGACCAGATGCCCCCCTTGCACCTTTCGAACAGCCCTTGAACATGCATTTCTTAGGACGACGATGATGATGATGAGTTCTTTGAGGAACACCAGCTGATGAGTCAGCAGCAGAGGAGTGACCAGTGGTACTCTGGTGAAGCTTATGTTGAAGACGATCATTATCAGTGGATGCATCAGCTCCAATATCTGATCGATTAAATGTCCCTGGAACATCCCCCATACCACCAGAACTTGTCAGCCTTGGGGCTAATAGGAGAGCAGGCATGTACCCGCCCGAGTTTCTCTTGCCTGATTTTGAGCTTTCGTCAACAATTGGAATCATGTGATGCTTTTCCATGGATGTTTGCTTGGACTTAGAAGAGGAAGTTACTATGCCCCCTGCATTGACCATTGATTCCACATTTCCTCTTGAAAGTCCCAGTTCTAACATGCCATTATCGGTTTCCAGGCTCCAACTTTGGTTGGTGGAAGTGGCAGGTTCTCTTGTTTTGCTAGTTCCGTCAGCAATGCAACATCCTGAAGTATAAGAAGTTGGACTTGGACCCAAACCAAGAACCAAACGACAACCATCGTCCACAGCAGAAAGCTCATGATTGTTCTGAGAACATACTGTTCCACCAGTTCTGCTGGTTTCATAGCTTGAGTGGTTGAGACACAATGTTGTGTGACCCAGGATGGAGCTTGTGCCAGATCTTAAGAAGTCCCCTGCTTCAGTCACTAAGAGACTCATAAAATGTTGCTTTCCCTTTGATGGATCTGTCATGTCGAAATCCATCATACCCATCAATGGCAAAATGCAAAAAAACTGAGTTTTGGTGAGAAAGAGGCTGCAGAAGGAAGACCAGAAGGCAGAGGACTTCCAGCTCTATATTCAGTAACTCATTTCTAGAGGTTTGGCTTTAAGGATGATAGAGTATGTGAAATGAAAATATGCATGGAATGTCAATTTGCAACCTCCACCAGTGACAAAGTCTGAAGTGTCTGCTCTGTCCATTACTTATTAGTTGATCTCATAGAAAATTTATGAGTAGAGGGCAATCAGACTTTGCAGCATCCACCAACAGCAAACCTTGGCATGTCTAATAGAATTTACTTTATGCCAAAAAATCATATTAGTTTCTCTTGTTATGATGGCAGCCTGAGAGGAGTAATATTTTGGAGCACATTTAAGGCTGCATGATAAGAAAGAATCGAGGGAGCTCCATTAAGCCAGCATAGGGGGGGAAAAAAGACTAATACTTATGGAACATCATGGATATAATATTGATGACTAAAGTATATGACATTAGATGGTGCACTCATCAGTTATTGAGTTGCCAAATCTGCAAGCTAAATGTACTCTTGCATATGTTTGCAGATTCTGGCAATCAGAACTGAGAAATTGATAACTTTATTGACACTTGCAATTCTAAAGCATCATCAAGTATCAAACATAGAAGTTTTAGTCATGATCTATATTGTACAGAAAATTCAACCATTTACCCACTTAATCTTCAGTTTTTTCTGAAACCACACAAGTCTACTAGCAAAAAATACAGCAACAAGTGTAGATATTTATCCTCCCTACCATTAGAAAAAACATAGGAAAAGAAGTGCCGTATTATTTTATGATAAAATCAAAGTGGTTAAATTTTCGAAAGCAACAGATAACCCAGTCATCAAACTAATGATTGTCGTCTAAATTGCTCTTTACAGAGCCATAAAACATTCTTTGCTGAAACAAATTCTCTTTAAATATGCTTCCAGAATTCCAAGTGATAGTTATCATGTTTACCCTTAAAGAAGCACACAGCAGTTTTGCAACATACGAAGACTTCCAGTCATCTGTATTTTGATTAAAGAATTCTTAAAACATCACACCAAGTTGGGTGTTTACATGGAACACAAACCAATTCCAATACGAATAATCATCCAGTCAAATCACATGAGAAATGGCCATTCAACAGAAGATCTTAAGATAACAAAATTACTAAATGACCCATCAGGCATACTACTAAAGCTCTAAATTTTCTTAAGAGTTTAGGTATGAGAAGCAAATAATCCATGTAGAGAGTCCTCGAACTTAAGTCAAAAAATTTTCCATATTGCTAATATGCATAAGAAGATTTAGGTTGAACATGTACAAACAAACCATGATGACTATCATAAATATAATTACAAGTGAATCAGAAAAAGATAATTTATTAACTTCATCCTAACTACACTCAGAATAAATTAAAAAAATCGATATCTGTTTAATGTTTAAAGGTGAAGCTACAAAAGTATACTATCATTTCCTGTTATTCAGCTGAGGATACATATGCAGAGTAGACATGACTATGAATCACAGTTCTCCTTAAACTGTCGACCATGAAGATTTAGCATCTATCAAGTCCACATATTTTTTGTTTCTAGTGCAAAGGTGTGAGGGTCTTAACCCAAAATTAAACATCTTATAAAGAAAAGAAGTTAATAAAATTAAAACCTCATGAGGTGTAGAGTTTTAGGATTTGTCTTACACTTACCAGAAGTAATTTTTTGATAAAAATTCCCTGAATTTGTTCAGAATAGGAAGTAATTTAAACTTCAGGTGTTCTATCTATCAAAGGGAAGGAAAAAAAAGGCTACACAGGGGAACTCCAATCGATGCTATCGAATAGATGCACACTATTATGAATCAAACCGTGAATCCACTTTTAGATATTCAAGTACATAATAATGAGCTACACAAGGCACGCATGCGATCATGAAAAGGAGTATCCAGACGCACTACTATGGTCTAGAAAGAAGACAAGGGGAAACAGAAATATGCTTTCAGGATCCAAGGGTTTCACTGATCTCGACCCTGACGCAGATGGATAAACTTCCTCTCACGGAAAACATCCATCGTGTACAACCCAACCACAATCTATAACTTGTAGCGGCACATCTAAAAACCTTAAGATGCTATTCCAAGAAAGCGCTCTCTTTGGTGACTGAAAAGGAAAGAATCGCAACGCATCTTCAACATCCACACGATTCTAGAAGCTCCAATCGAATCCCATCATAAATTAGTCAGACCACACCCGCAGACTACGAAAAGAACCCTAATCTTGGCGACGACTTGCAGGAAATCACAAAGAAACGAAGAGGAAACAGAAAAGAACAAGACGGGTGAAGGGGGAAGAGAGAAAGGGCGGACCTGAAGAGAGAAACGCAGAAAGGTCTCAGCTTTTCCACTCTCCTTCTCCCTCTCAATGGCGCGCGCGGAGGGTCGGAAAGGATGCCGAGAGGAGACGAAGGGAAGGGGGCGTGCCAAGTTCGACGCGAGTGGCGCAAGAAGCGAGAAATGGCGATGGCGAACGCCGCCGTTGCACTCTCCATTACTTCACCGTCCAGTGATTTAGCCAATTTTGAGGCCTTTCCAGTAATGGAGGGGATCGTGGCGCGTCGACCTGCGACGCGGTCCACCGGGGCGGTGACCCGACACGAACGCGGCTGGCGGCTGGCGGCTGGCGGCGGCTAAAACCCAACACACTGCCCATAAACATGAAACAAATCATCACCCAGGAAGTAAAAACAAAAAAACAAAAACAAAAGGGTGAATTCTTCTCTCTCTCTCTCGCTCTCTCTCTCTCTCTCTCTTCACTAACATTAATTGTCGATATCAATAATAAAATGGAAGAGCATTAATCATCCGAGTAAATCTTTCAAGTGACCCCATCAATTTCTTTCCTCAAACTGAGAAGCATAAATGCAATTATCAGAGTAAAACTACTAATTTTGTGTGGTATCAGAAGGTATAGAACTGATAATGAGATCAAAGTGGTGGAGAATAATATGTTAATGACAAGAAAAGGGAAAGGGAAAGAATGTGGAAGACATTCATATAAATTTTTGTCTCAGTTTCCATCCTTCTTACACTTTACTATCTTATGAGTTGATCACATACAAAACATAGAAGAAATGTTTTGTATGTGATCAACACACCATGAATTGATTGAATCAATAAAGAATACATGATGAAAGAGAATGAGATACCAAACTTTGCTTCTTGTATGAATGTGGCATGTGTACTAAGGTGGATCCACAAGAAGTTTGACAGGAGGATTCCTAGATTTGATGCATGCAAACACTATTGAAAGCATAGAAAACTACACTGCTCTGTACAATCTGCAATGATTCTGAGATATCATATGCAAATAACTGATCAACTTGGCAAAGAAAGTTTGTAGAATACTGTGAGATGCATGCAATCATTGTCATATTTTTGCATCACAGTGATAAGATCAAAGAAATCATTGATCTGACTTTGTATTATTAAGTTGTTAGTAAGGTGGATTCCTGTCATTGAACATGGAAAGCAACAAAAAACTTTATTTGTTCTTTGATCTTTTATTATGGATGATTCAACTCTTGGTTGGCACCAACCTTCTCTGTTTTGGCCTTTGGAATCATGTACAGGCCATTCTCCTCACATTGTGTATAATAATGTTTTCTTTATGAAGCTGAAATCTTAATCATCATCTACTCCATTTTGTTTAGTGATGTCACTCTGAATGATCACACACATTTCCTTGTGCTGTTGGAACTCACAATCAATGCAATACCTAATTTAATTGAAGTTAAGGGATCAAGTGTGATAAGCTAACCTCTGCTTGACTTTTTGATAGCATTGATATGACTTACATATTTGCTGATGCAAAAAGGATTGATATGATTTGTTGAGGGAAGATTAAGTTGAAAAGAAGAGTGCACATGTTTGAGAGACAATATGATCATAAAAAGTGGCCACAACAGAGAAAGAGTGTCTTAATTTCATGAAAAAGATGAAATCTAGATATCTAAGCATGACACTGAGTGAGGAAACCAATAAGCAACTGCAGTTCAATGTGTAGCAACAACTCTAAAGAACTCTTAGAAGCAGCACTTCAAATAAGGTTAACCTAAGATGCTCATGCTCAATTGCAGATTCCATATTGTTAACATGATCGAATCATATTAATTTTATTTTCTTGCATTCATTTGTTATAAAAAAAAATTATTGACGTCTTAGTCAACCCGACGTGGTTTAAACTATATGGACAGGATTGTCTAAGATGCCTTCGAGGTGAAAACGTCAAGCTCCCGATGTGTCACTTACACAAAGAGCAAAATCAAATGAAGTTTTTCAATTTGACACTTTCGACACCCAAGTTAGTAACTCGAAGTAAGTGAATATGGACGCAAGTAGTCGAAAAGTAATCACCCCTTTCATTGTGTTGAATATCAGCTTTTATATCTAATTGTAAAGAGATGAAATATTTTATGAAATATTCTATAGGGAGATAATACCGAATCGTCTCTAATATCCCCTTGATCTTTTATCTATGCGACAAGGAAGGACAATCTATAATTGTTTCTCTTGGACCCTTATCCATATGGGTAGACAAGAGGAGTGTAGTCTTTGTCTTTTCCTTTCACCCTAGATACTATGTGGAAGCCACATGTTGGGCAATTATTATTTGACGATGCTCTCCCTATCACTTATCCCTCCGTAAAGGTGCTAGTCATAGTTGCATTATAAACCAATCACGTAAATGATGACACGTGTGACATGATATACACTCTTTTTGTTTATTATATTATTTGATATTTTATCACTTCATATTGCTTATGATATCACAATAATAAGATCGATTCACCTTTAAACACAGACCTCAATAATCATGGTCATAGGTTATTCGGGAGGGATATCGAGATAATCAGATAGACTCATATGAGGATACTAGGGATACAATGTAGGTGTTCATTGGAGAATAAGTTCGCTGATTGATCATCTCACGAAATGTTGGATGGTGTCTTTGTAACACCCCTGATTAGTCCCACATCAAAAGTGGGCAGGATTAAGATTGACTTATAAGGGTCTAATGAGTGTACTACAATAACTCCCGCTTAAGTATTTTGGTCCGTAGTTGAAGGATCAAAATGGAGTTATTGGCCAGTTAACTCATCAGACGCGGGTCATGACATTTGGTATCAAAGCCGACCTAGCATTTGGGCATGGTGAGGGGGCTCGAGTAGGAAAGGGCTACTTGTAGACGGAGTCAGAGGACTCGTCACGGCGTGGAGCCACCACTGGGCTACGCCTCACATGCATTATGCTAGAGCCTGATTTGAGTTATGTTGGGTCGGGCAGTGGTTTAAACCAAACAAAGTTGATAGGCTAGTTAGCCCATTAGGCTCGGGTCATGACATTTGGTATTAGAGCCGACCTAGCATTTGGGTATGGTGAGGAGGCTCGAGTAGAAAAGGGCTGCCCGTAGACGGAGTCAGAGGACTCGTCACGGCGTGGAGCCACCACTGGGCTACGCCTCATATGCACTATGCTAGGGTCTGATCTGGGTTATGTTGGGTCTTGAAGAGGACATCAAGCCTTTGAGTGGGCAGGATTAAGATTGACTTATAAGGGTCTGATAAGTGTACTATTATCAACTTCAGCTTAAGCATTTTGGTTAGTAGTTTAGACCAAACAAAGTTGATAGGTTAGTTAGCCCATCAGGCTCGGGTTATGACAGTTTTATTGTCAAACAATGATTTTATCGTCATATGGTTCTTATCCTCTCCCACACAACTTTCTTATACATCCAATTTTTGGTTTCATGGAATTTTGCACATCAATCTTTGTACAATAATAAGAGACTTATTTTTTACAAAAAATTATGAGATTTTTGTTTTCTATTCTTTTGCTGCGTATGTGATGTCACCCCATATTTCCCAACAGGCAGGCTTCAAGGGTTCTTACAAGAGGAATTTGAAGTGTGACGTTTAATTTATCTAAGATGTTAAGCGTAGACTTCCACAATTGTTCTCTAACTTTGAGTGTTAGCGAATTTTGATAAGGTAAGAGAGCATCTGATCTGTGCTTCGAATTGGCAACCTCCGTCCCTCGATAAGGGGTCACCCCTCATCGACATATTATCCTCAGTAGCATGTCAATCCTTGTTGACGTGAACTCGATCCTCCTTTAAGTGTGGAGGTTGACAATGATGTGGATCTGTTACTCGACCTTCGTGGCTTGATGGTGATGAGAAGAGAGGGTCGAGTGCCCGACCTCAATATATGGGGTGGATTTAGGTGTTAGGTTTCCCGACCTCTATACCTTGGGTGGAGAGCGATTAGATTTCCCAACCTTCTTGGTTCGATGAGAACCTCAAGCAAGAGGTGCAAGATATGTTATTAGGTTTCCTTACCGCCACACCTCGAGCGAAGAGGGTCAGGTTTCCCGACCTCCACACCTCAGGTGGAGGAGAGACCCAGCCTCCATATCTCGGGCGGAGGAGGGAACCAATCTCTACATCTTGGACGAGGGTGGGACCTGATCTCCATGACTAAGTGATTGAGATTTTTTGACCTTTATACTTTGGGCAAAGTTAGGGGTTGGGTTTCCCGACCTCCATGACTCTGGTGAAGGAGGGACCTGATCTCCATGTCTTAGGCCGAGGAGGGACCCAACCTCCATAACTCGGGTGAAGGAGATGATCGAGATTTCTCGACCTCTATATTTCAGGCAGAATTAGGGGTTGGGTTTTCCAACCACCACACCTTGGGTGGAGGAAGGACCTGACCTCTACGACTCGAGTGAAGGAGAGGATAGTTCTAAACTAAATTTCACTGGTGCTTAAGCTTTTAATACAGTTCTACTGAGATCAAATTCATCTAGCTCTAATGACCACCTCAACAATCAACTCGAAAGAAAACCTATTTGAATGGTTGGTAAATGATATCTATAAAATATATGCTTAAAAATAAAGACGAAGCTTTCTTACCGTCAAAACTAATTCAAATATAAGCCTCTCGATCCATTTGGTTCAAAATGTCACTGTCACAATCAAGATACTGTAGAAGAATTTTTGAAAAATTTTGCAACCTAAAGAAATACAGCTTGTTTAAGACCGACAAAACAAAATTGGCAACCTTTTACTTCTTTTTATCCTTTTGTGACGTTGTAAAAAATAACAAAGTACAAAAAGTTAATCGCACATGAGCAAGGTTCAAATTCTAGGAAGAGCTAAGCTCGCATTTACTTGTTTAGGAGTGTTTGTACCCTTGTATTATATACAATCTTAACATTTTTAATTACAGTATTGTTGATATTTTGATCTGCATAAATCTTGTATGTTCTCATCGCTTGAGGACCATTCATCACTCTTTGTTGCATTCTACATGCTTTTGTACATCATCATTTCCATCGCTTTGCATTCTTCAACCCTTTAGACTTTGCTTTTGCTTGCTGAAAAGCCACCATTTTCTGCTTCTTTCTGGCAGCTTTCATCTCCTGTATAAAGGGGGAAATATCCAAAATTGTGTCAGAGAAACACGCTTCCTGCTTTGAGCAAGCCTTTCTTTCACCTCCATAATCGGAAGTTCAGCAAACTTTCACCTTTGACATCTTAGATTTGGCTTTTACTTTTGGAGCCCTTTCTTCAAGTTCAGCCTCGCGCTCCAGTTCTCTATCTC